GGCTTCCAATTCAGGATCCGCCTACAAATACAAAACCCTCAGCATCCAAAAAAAAAATACCACAAACATGTATATTCTGTCATTAAAACCCTAGAATTTCATGAAAAATTCCCAATTTATACTCTTAATCCCAAAATTTCAATAGCAAATTAAAAAAAAAAAAAAAAAAAAAAAAACCTTAAATTCGAAACCTTAATCATAAATTAACAGAAAACACTTAAATTGAACCAGATTCCAGCAAAATTACCAAACATACACATATGTTTACAACAGCAATGAGTAAAAATTAAAATCAAAATAAACAAAAACAAGAAGTAATCTAACATGTTTTGGCTAAGAATTGCAGAGTAAAACCCTAAATATGGAGAAGAAAGAGGAAGAGGAGAGAGAATTTGGACATACCATTGTAAATGGAGGTAAGGTTTGTAGCTAGCAGCAAAACCGAGATTCAGGCGATGCGTTGGGAAGGTTGATGTTGGAAGTTTGAAAGAAGCGTTAGTGAAACGCAAGTTTTATGGGCCTCCTCTAGTGCGATGCAAGTGCAAGATTATATTCGTACGGAGTATTAGTTAGACTTAGGATACTAAATGGGTTCAAGTATTTTTAGTTAGTATTTGGGGGTTTACGTGGAATTTAAGGTGAGTTAACTTCACTTTAATTCACTGTTTGCCATAAGAAAAAAAAAAACTTAGACCCTTGTTAAAAAGTTAGGCCCGATTCACTTCACCTTAAAAAAAATAATATTTAGTAAAAATAATTTCAGTTCAATAAAATTAATTTCAATTCAGTAAAAATTAGTTCAGTTCCTCTAAAAAAAATTAGTTTAGTAAAAATAATTTCAGTTCAGTAAAAATCAGTAAACTTAAAGAAGAAATATACTAGAAAATCAGTAAAAATAATTTCAGTTCAGCAAAAATAATTTCAGTTCAATAAAAATAATTTAAGTTCAGCAAAAATAATAACAGTTCAGTAAAAATAATTTCAGTTAAGTAAAAATACTTTCAATTCAGCAAGAATAAGGTGAAGTGAACGGGACCTTAGACTCATAAGAATAAATAAATAAAGAAAAAATACACTGTAATAATTTCAACTTTGCCCAATTTACTTTAAATAATCCCAACTTTCTATTATTCTGCAATAATCCAACTTTCACTTGTATTTTCTTTCTTTAATCCCGTTTACCAGTTACTTGAAGAAAAGGTTGTTTTTTAAAAAAAAAAATATTTGTCACGTGTTGCATGTCAATTGGCTAAAAAAAAATTAATTAAATATCCAGAAAAAAAGAAAAAAAAAAAAACCAAAAACCACCCAGCCATTAACGCTACAGCCAAAGTCAGCCATTAACGTTGAACCACCCCCTTCCCCAGCCGACGACCCCCCCCCCTCCGAACCCCCTTCCCCATTTTTATTTCCATTTTCCAGCATATGAAGGTTTGGGTTTCGGGTGCTTCAACGATGGGGGAAGGAGGCGAGGTGGTTTCGGTAGCTAGGGTGTGGGATTGTAGGATGAAAAATTGTAAAATTAGAAAATAAAGATTGAATGTGGGCCGAATTTCTTAATGTATGTAAAACGCTGTGACGTGTTAGAAACACTGTCTTAGAAGAAAAATTCGCCTCGACTATGGTGCAATCGGAGATGGCGTTGCCCCCCAAGATTTCACACAGCGATCTCCCTTAATGTGCACTCAAAAAGAGAGACTAGGAACTCACAAAATGCTCAGAACAACTGTAGAGGAAAATCGAAAACAAAAGAAGAAGAAAATGAAAGAATTTATGTGTTCTCCAAAAGCCACGAAAATACTAGGTTTTTACAGAAGAAGAAAACCGTAACTGCTGGAGATAATTAACCAACGGAAATAATCGTGGAGGAAAATCAGCGAACAGTTACAACGTTTAAAAGACCGAGTCAAACGTTGTTGTGGACTTCGTAACTGAACAATCTCATAAAAACTGGACACACCACACCACACCACACCGCGCACATGCCACGAACACGAACCGGTCGGCCGGCGGCGGCGGGGTGCAGGGATGCCCCCTTCTAGTCCACAACAATAGGGAAAGCACTTCAAACATTAAAGTATGAACACACATATTTAAACTAAGTAAAACATACTTCTCCCACCAAAGTGGGATAAAAACCCCTCTTCTCCAATATAAAACAAGTAAAGCTTCCTTATCCCACCAATGTGGGACAAAGGGTTTTCCTCCAAAAAAAAAAAAAAAAAAAAAAAAAAAAAAAAAAAAAAAAAAAACACCTTCCTTAGCATTTACTTCCAACAAGGATAAGGGTGGTTTCCGGGATGAGGGAGGGAAAGGGGACGATTTTGAGGGTGGGGTTTTGGTTAATGGTTGTTACGGATGGCGTTTTAGGGGACAGGGGTTTGATTATGGGTTGTTTCAGCCCTTCGGGAGTGGGGGAGGGAGGGGGCTTTTTCGTGTGTGGGGCTGTGAAGGAGGGATGATTTCGGTGGTGCAGCAGGGGAAACGGTGGTTCTGGCGGTGGGGCTAGGGAGGGAGCTAGCCACCATTGTTGTTGTGGGCTTGGTTTGAATTTTGGTTTTTTTTTTTGTTTTGTTTTTTTTTTTTTAATTTTTTGGACTAATCATGCTTAGACACGTGTCAAGTGGCTTAGAATAAGAGGTCATTGACTTTTGTTGACTGGTTGGGATTGAAGAAAGAAACTGAAGGTGAAAGTTGGGATTATTGCAGAATAATCGAAAGTTGGGATTATTTAAAGTAAATCGGACAAAGTTGGCATTATTAAAGTGTACTTTTCCTTAAATAAATAAATATTAATTCATCCTATTAATTGATTTTAAGTATTAGAACACATTAAAAAAAATTATCATTCAAAAAAGCAATAAGTCACTCCTAAAAGACAACTATCGATCATATATTCCCATAAGATTTTGCATTACATGATTTCCATCAACATTTATCATATTGTTACTAGTGGATTACTAGTAATAAATTAATTTATAAATGTATGATTTAAGACTGATTTTCACGGTAAGCAATCTATAAATATAATTAAAGTAATAACCTCTAACATCATCACTATTCAAGTATCAATTTCTCATACAAAAATTTCCCTCCAAAACTTTTGGTGACATTATTTTTTTTTCAAGATAAATAAAGGTTTGAAATAGGTAGATTAATTACATACTTCCTAAAATATTTTATGATTGAATTGACTAATTACACATTTTTCCGTGGATTATAAATAATATTAAAATTGGTGGCCGGACTATTTCATTTTGCTACTCTATACATTTATAGTGAGTGGTTGATAGTCAACAAGTGGGTTTACACCAGTTTTATACATAGGAAAATAGATTGCCAACAATTTTAACATGTAATTTATTATTGATTTTTTTTTTAATATGAAAAATCATAATGCGATTTAAAAAAAATATATATTATAGTAATAAGCCATATATTTATATATTGATTCAACAGTCAGCCCCCTAGATTAAAAATCCTGGCTCCGCCCCTGCTAGTATCCAAAAATAAGTAGTCATTAGTTCTATAAATGTAACAACGAACAACTTTACAATTTCCTCCTTGATAATATAATGCTTAAAATAATTCATGTAAGTTCTCTGTTTCTAATTATATATATATATATAAATAATAATAAAAAAATGAAAGAAAAAAACCTATTTTCTGATTGACTAAAAAAAAGTAAGTTCTTTGTTCTCCTTAATAATGCTAAAAATTAAGCACCTTTCAATATTTTTTTTAACTTTTTACAGAAACTTATTAAATTCTATAATAAACTATTTTGATCAAAATTAAATATAAAAAATATTCTTTTATGAAGCATTATACTCATAAGGATAATTAAATAAACATATATATTCATCCTATTAATTGATTTTAAGAATTAAATAACATTAAAAAAATTATCATTCAAAATAGCAATAAGTCACTTCTAAAAGACGACTATCGATCATATAATCACCGTAAGATTTTGCATTACATGATTTCCATCAAGATTGACAACATTATAATATCATCACAAGATTAAGAATTATTTAAAATAGAGACAAGAATCTCAAGTATTGTTCAAAACAATTACATATAATTGCTTCTTGCAAGAACAAAATACTCTTATCATATTGTTACTAGTGGAATACTAGTAATAAATTAATTTATATGTCTGATTTGAGATTGATTTTCACGGTAAGCAATCTATCTATAAATATAACTAAAGTAATAATCGTTGACATCATCACTGTCCATTTGTCAACTTCTCATACAAACAATTTCCCTCCAAAACTTTTAGTGACATCATTTTTTTTTTCAAGATAAATAAAGGTTTGAAATTGGTAGATTAATTGCATATTTCCTAAAATATTTTATGATTGAATTGACTAACTACACATTTTTTCGTGGATTAAAAATATAATACTCCCTCCGATTTTTTTTAATTGCAACTTTGGTGTGATTTGCGGTTCACGAGGCAAAAGTTAAAGGGCATGTGGTAGTGGGGTTAATTAAAGGTGATTAAAGTTTTTGGAGAGAGAATGTTTGGCCCACCCCTTAGGAAAGTAGTGGAATTGACAGAATTATTTTCCCCCAAAATTTACCCACAAATTTCAATTGGCTGAAATTTTGGGAATTTTTAATTCCCTTGAAAATTTTAAAAACAAACCACCAAATATTCAAACATTGGAGCATTTAAATAGTCATTGCAATTCATATTTATGAGACATCTTAAATAAAGCCTCCATCAAAATAGAGCATTCAATGTTGTTTCACATCAAAAACTTAAACATTCTTCCAACTGAAATTAGTCTAGTTTTGATTAATTACAGAAAGTTAAGCCCAATATATACCCAAAAAATTCCTTAACCTAAAATTAGTAGCCCAACTAAGACCCTAAACCCTTCAACGGTAGCTGCTTCTTCTTCGCCCTTCATCTTCTTCTCAAAAACAAAGCAGCCACCATTACTTCAAGCAGCTGAGGCTAAGAAAACAAAACACGTTAGTCAACCATGGCAGAATTTGGTGCTATGTACTTCGATGTCGATCAAATTCTCACAGAAGAAGAAGAGACAGAATTGTACTATGATTATGCAGAGCGTATGCAAGATCTAGGTATGTATTACTACGACTCTGAAGATGAAATTATGCAAGGCACAGAAGGAGAAGACCAAGGGCAGCACATAACAGAGGACACAGAAGATGGGGCTGGGGGCCAGGAAATGGAACAACCCATTCACCATGGGACTCAACACATTCAAAGAAAAAACCTAACAATGAAACAAAGAAGGGAAGTAGTGGACTCAATGTTGGTAAACATGCATCAAGGGAACATACCAAGAGGTCACTTAAAGCACTTATCAGTGAATTTCAATGTGCATAAATCAACCATCACAAGAATATTTTCAAACGTAAAAAAACAGATGGCACAAGGCAATTTGATTGATGTCAGGACCAAAAAGTTAGGCAGAGTTGGCAGAAAGGCAAAGGAATTTTCTAATGCATTCCTACAGTCAGTGCCTTTGATTTAAGGCAGACAGAAAGGAGTTATGCAGCAGGCTTAAAAATCTCCCAGTCTACCCTCCACAATTTGAAGAAAAAGGGAAGGTTAAGAACACACACAAGTACCAACAAGCCAGCACTGACCTTAGACCATAAGATTGCAAGGCTGAAATGGATTTTATCACACATAAATCCAGTGGCAAGTAATGAGGACCCAACATTTGTTGATATGAACCATGTCATACACATTGATGAAAAATGGTTCTATCTAAACCCAGACAAGAGGAGGTTTTACCTCCTACCTAGTGAGGAAAATCCTTATAGGCCTATACAGTCCAAAAGATTCAAGCTCAAAGCAATGTTTATGGGCTTAATTGGGAAGCCTTTGTATGACACACATGGGGGACTACTCCATGATGGGAAATATGAAATGTTCCCATTCACAATGAAACAACTAGCCAAGAAATCAAGTAAAAATAGAGTAGCAGGAACATGGGAAACAAAGGCAATACAGAATGTGAACAGAGAGGTTATCAGGGACATGTTGGTAACCAATGTTATTCCAACAATTATTTCAAAGTGGCCTCACAGTCAACCAAAAAACATTGTAATCCAATGGGACAATGCAAGGCCTCACCAAGTTCCTAATGATGCAGAGTTTATGGCAGCAACAACAGCTAATGGATTTAACATCCAATTTGTTTCCAACCAGCACAATCACCAGATTTGAATGTGCTTGACTCAGGGTTGTTTAGGTCAATTCAGTCATTGCAATATCAGTCTTTTCCTAACAACCTAGATGAGTTAGTTACAAAAGTGCAAGAAATTTATGAGGCATTCAATCCACAAGTCAAAAAGTATATTTGGTTAACTTTGCAAAAGTGCATGATTGAGATCCTCAAAGTACAAGGTGGAAAAAAGTACAAACTCCCCCACATGAACAAGAAAAAACTGGAAAACCTTGGAGAGTTGCCAAATCAAGTAGAAGTGCAGAAGGAAATAGTGTTAGAGGCAGTGGAGTACCTAGACACTATGTTTAGGCCAGTGAATGAGGGGACTGATCAAGGAACAGAACACATGGACTGCCACACATAACCACTTACAATTGGTATGGTAATTTTTTGTTAACATGTTCTATTTTTTAGGTGGTTATGTGTATTTTGTTGAATTCAGTTATCAAACTTGTAAGGCAGTCTAATGTAAAGTAATTTTGTAACCACATGTTCAATTGAATAGAAATGGTTCTTTGTCTGAGTTTATGTGGCCATTCAATCCATCAGAAGTTTATTTTTTTCCATATTTCAATAAAAACCAACCCACATGGTTACCTCAACAACAAAGGCATAAAGCACATAGTTGGAGCAAGACACATGTGGGTTGTGAAGGTCAACAGAGTCCCTTCCTCATTTGGATTTGGGCAGAGTACACAACACAGACAAGTAGGGGACTGAATACAAGTAATGCTACCACATAAGGGACTGTCATGTATTCTCTACTAAATTGATCATTGAGAACACTTGAAGGTATGACCAGGGGACTTTTAACATTTGTATTCACACATTAGCCTCATCATTCATCAATCAAACAGCCATATGCACCAAATGCCAATACCAACAACCAAACATTTCTTACAATATTCTCCAACACATGCATACATGTTACATAGTCCAAAACAGCAGACAAAGCAAACCAAGTCAGGAACACCATACATGACATGTCAAAAGACCAGGATATCACAAGTAAGCAACCAAGCCAACATTAATCCACAACGCTAACTACAATAGAGCAGGATACACCAACTAAGCAACCAACCCAACATTAATCCACATCACCAACTACACCAGAGCAGGATACAATAACAAAGCAACCAAGCCAACATTAATCCACAACACCAACTACAACAGCCTAGGATATCACAAATAATCAACCAAGCCTTCATGCATCTTCATCAAAGCATACAACAGAGTAGGAGTTGACAAATAACCAAGCAAGACAACATGCATCCAGACTAGTAAAAAAATCCAACAACACCAACCAAATACCATGGAAAATCAACAGGATATCGACAAAATTAAATAAAAGGGACTCTTTTTATTCAAAAAAATTTAAGATAGGTAGGGTTAGGAGTCGTTACGCAAAGGTCAGTTGGAGGGTTGAACCCTAGGGTTCATCTGCCTCACAGAGGGCTTCTTGACAGAAGGGCCGACCACGTCAACGTTGTCACCCTCCTCACCCTCCTCATCAGAATAGGGCACAACCACCTCCTGGTCAGGCAACCCCCGCCAATGCCTCCTAGCCACCAACGTCGCCTTCCTTTTTGTCCTAATCTTCGCCGGCGGCCTGGTAGGGTTAGATCTGGGCTTGGAGGACGCCACACCACTTCCCTCACCACTTTTGCATTCCATATCTACACAAACAGGACTGAAATCAATCTTTTTTTCCCACGGGACTCAGCAATTCCCTCACCCTCAGCCTTTTTTTTTCTCTTCGTCATCCATCCGTTGGAGAACTTCGCCCAACGCCTTGAACGTACTCGAAGAACAGCAGCTCCTCCCATCTTTATGATGGTACAGTCGACGAGGAAAATCATCTCCCCTTTGGATATCCATAATAAGGGACTTGATGAAAGTTCCCTCGATGTTGTCATTGGTTGCTATATAGGCGTCGATTAGTGGATCTGCGTCAACCATTGTAGTGGGGGACTCAAGTGTTTAAAGTTTGGAGGAGTGAAGGTCAGAATGGAGGAGGTAGAATGGAGAAAGTCACAGACGCGAAGGAGCGAGGAAGAGGAAGACGAAGAACCAGATCTAGGGTTATTCAGAAAACTCTAGAAGTAGAAATTCCCAAACTACTCCACTTAAATGTGGGTAGTTGGGGATTTGGGAGATTGGTGTTGGTTGGGGGAATTAATTGGAGGGAGTAATTAGATTAGTATAATTGGGATGTTTTGAGTGTAATGGGGGATTAGGGTTAATAAGGGGTAAAGTAAAAAAATTTACAAATTTTAAGTAAGGGTAATATAGTAATTTTGAAGGTTTTTGTTTACCCAAAATAGAAATAAAATAGAAAGTTGCATTTAATTTTGATCGGACTAAAATAGCAAAAGTTGCAATTAAAAAAAAAATCAGAGGGAGTATATAAATAAGTGGCTGAACTATTTCATTTTTTTTAACACTTTTTATCTCCTTCTATAGCTACTCTATACATTTATAGTGAATTATATGTTTTTGGGATTTTCATTCTTTATTAGTTCTTAAAAAAAAAATTAATGAAAAATAAACCAGTAAAATAATGCTAATATCTTATAAATAAGTTTAAATTTTATTAAAATTGTGGAAGTATATAGTATAATATATAATTATAATACTCCGTATTTAACATCATATATTTTGTTAGCTCGATTATTTAATATGATCACACGATTTATTATTTTTCTTAAATACGTATCACATACAAATAAGCAAAAAAAATTATTATTTAAATAGTGCATCGCATGGGATTAATCTAGTTAATAATATATAAAATAAACAAGTCACCAGTAAGTACTTATCTCTAGATTTCATCAATAACCTTCCGTAGTAAATAGTAATATAGTAATATGTATGTACGAATGAAAATAAAAGTTTTTTTACATTTAATATTAATACAATTATAGTTAGTGATTAAAATAACAATTTAAGCGTTTATAAACAAAAAAATAAATAAAAATAAATAAAAAAGATACATGAATATATACATGCATGATATTAAAATAGTCATACGTGTTAAGAATTAATTAACCAAGTAACAAAAATAAGTTTATGCATATTCATAAAAACAATCAAAAAGTCTCATAGTACTTTAATGAAGGGTCCAAGTTTTTGCTACTTTCTAATTGGTTGTTTTTTTAAAAAAAAAAAATAAAAAGAAATTGTTTTAGTGGTTAACTAGAAGGGTCCAACTTTTTTAATTAAGGGTTAAACTTTTTTGGAGACAACAATTATTTACACCAGAAAATAAAACTTAGACACCAAATATTAAGTAAAAAAAAAAGTTAGATCCTAAACACAATGTTTAAGTTAGTCCCCATTTGTTATCTTAACTCATATTAATTACGGAGTATTAAGATTTTTGCTTATGGATTTTACCTTTCACTTAAAGCGGTTTTACCATTTTTAGACTTTAAAAAAAATTTAGTTATTATGATATTTATTTTGTTCAATTTATTTATGTTCGGATAGAATTAGTAGTTGGTTATAAATACATATGAGTATGAGATATATTAGGATTAGGATTCTTAGTTTTCTATATTATACATCCTCCGTTTCTTTTTAGTTGATATGTTTCTTTAGTCACGTTTGCCAATGCACAACTTCAACCATTGATATCTCTAATTACCGATAAGCAAAAATTATGAAAATTTGATATTTTGAAAATATATATCGTGACGAATCTAATAAGATCCCACATGGCTATATTTTTCATTATGTATAAACCATAAATCACGGTCAAAGAGGAGTGTGTGAATAGTTCTAAAGTCACAATATGTCAACTAAAAAAAACGGAGGTAGTATTAGGATGATAAATATTTTAAAAAAAAAAACAGATGTACAATAAAATATTGTACATCCGCTATAAAGTTACCTTAAAATGATCAAAAGTTATCCTGTAAAGGTTGTAATGAATGAAAGTTAACCTGTATATATAAGTTACCCTAATATAAATAATTTACCCAAAAAAGTCTTAAAGTTACCCTAAATTCAATAAAAGTTACCTCGATGTACAATAATATTACTGTACATCAGATGTATACAAAAGTTTTTATATTAGGATATATTTATTAATTTCTTATCTTATCTTTGCACAACTTTTCACCCTATATATGGGTGCATATCATAGGTTTAGGGCTTTAAATCAAACACAAAACCACGGTTTTTGTGCATCTTGTTGACTGTGATCTAATATCATTCTAAAGAAACAAAAGAATAAGATTAATAACATCTAAATTTTATTCATTTTACGTTACAAAAAAATCAAATAATAAATGATGAAATATTACTCTATAAAATTGTTTGATAGATCCTTATTGAATCTAGAATATGAGTATCCAATGAATCACCATTGATGCGATTAATTACTTGTTAATTAAATTTTATTATTGTGTAGTTAATAAGGAGTTACATAAAATTAAGGAAATTTTGTGAGGAAAAACCTTTTAAAGCTACTATTTTGTTCATATCGAGGAAAACCTTTTTAAAAAAATTTGGCTAGGAGAAACCCGTTTATGAATTTTTTTTGTTGAGGACGCCCAAGTGCCACTTTTTGACGACGTTGACTCGACTTTTTCTAGAGTTGACTGAGCATCTGCATGTCACATGCCTTATCTTTTTTTTTCCTAATTACACCCCTTTTTCCTAATTCCAATCTATTTTCCCTCCAATTAATTAAACCCTCTCTCTCTCTCTCTCTCTCTCTCCCTTTCTCTCCTCTTTATCTCCTCTCTGTCAATTTCCCATTGTTGGAGTTCAATCAATTCAAATAAGCTGGAAGGCTTTCCCAACAAATTTCGACCAAAGGTTTATCAATCTCTTATGTTTTTGTTAATTTATAAAAGATTAGGATTTTTTCCTTTTTTAAAATTGGCAATTATATCTCAATTATGCAACAATTATGGTTCGAGGCAATGATTTGAGTTGTGGGTGTGGCTTTCCTATGGCGAAGAGGACTTCATGGACCCATGATTATCAATGC